TTTGAAATAATACATCAGAATTATTCTTTAAATCTTTTATTAATATCTTATTTCTTGTAAGAATTAAATTTTATGAAGTTGGACCACACCTCATTTATTTTGTCAAAATACTTCAAAAAAAAGCAACAAGTATTTTTGTGATTAACTTAACTTTCTAATCTCGCATTAATCTTGAATAAAAGTGTTTATTTTCTTGCTATATTTATTTTGATAAGAAACTTAACAATTTTTAAGATATTTAAATACATTAAATTTAAATTATTTTTAAATTTAAATTTTTAAAATGTTATTCAAAACAATGCAACATTAAAGGAATTCACTTGGTCTCTAAATAATTTGTAAGAGAAATTCACTTCCGTTCTAAAATGCAAGAAAATAACTTGACTTATTTCTAGTTTTTTTAAGGCTTGGTTTTGCCATGGCTAATCTTAGGAAAGGAGGGAGATGAGCCTATATTAGGGTTATTCTTGGATGAATTAGGATAAGCTTTGACAAAGTTCTTGAAAGAAAACCATGGAGAAGTATTATCTTTTAATGAAACATTACAAGGAAATTGAGCTTCTTGGACAATAAGGAATTAAACCAAAATTAAGGGAATTTTCTCTTCTTGAATAAAGAGTAAATGTGTTAACCATTTAAGTTCACGTACACATTCATCACTCAATTCAGATCTCATCCTAGTTATTTGTACACAACTCAAACAACAAATATATATTTTCAAACCATTATCAAATTATGTTTTCACACGCTCAAAAACTTTTACAAATTATCCTTAACCTCATATTCTAAATATACAATTCAAAAATATTTCTCAATCTAAAAATACATTTTGAAATATATTTTTGAATATATCGTATACTTCAAAACATATTTCCAAATTTAAAAATACTTTTCAGATTGCACGAAATTCGTTAAATAAAGGTATAGAGATAACTTTTAGCTTTTTATTATAATTTTAATTAGGGATTATTTGATATTTATGGATTTTATGGGAGTAAAAATCACATGATCCATGTTTCTGATAAAAAGGAAAAAAATGCTAATGATTAATTTGAGTTATTTTTTACTTCAAAAACTCTATTGATGATAAAAAAATAATAATAGATTCCTTCACATAAAATAAGCTAAACCAACTGCATCATTAAATGTAGTTTTTATATTTCACAAAAATAAGCACGATTCTTTTTTTGACAAAAAAAAAACTCATTGCATTTCTCTACTGATTGATATTGTGTTTGGATACAACTTGGTATATAATCGAAAACCTGGCATAAATATATTAGAAGTACTTGTGGAAAAGAAGACTACAAAAGACCATTCCACCAAAAAGATACAATAGACCTGGGGATATAATTATATGATATCATCATTCAAAGCATGAAGAGCAATAGAATCTGACATGTATCCTGTAGTCCCTAGAATTTGGAATCCAAATTGTTACTCAATGTAGTACTTATTTTTGAAAGGTGCAAGTAGCTTGCCGGAATGCTGATGAATCTCACATCCAAGTTCAACCTCCATCAAACGATGATTCGCCTTTGAGCGACTCATCAGAAAAGAAACCTTTAAATCATCACCTTCACTGAGATTCATAGGAGGATGCAAAAGAAAAACCTGTCCAATGATTAAATATATCATCAAACTAACATTATCATGCAGCTGGATATAAAAGTCAGACCGTAGGTTATGACTACAACAATAAATGCTGCACATACATACATCATTATTCACAAAGCATGGAAGTTATCTCTTTGTCTGTTTTCCATTCTCTATAAAATTGTTAACACGTACTTTAAGAATACAACATGCACTTTAAGCGAGTGTTTGAAGCAAATCGAAGAACTACACAAGCAAAAACAGCAAACTACAAGCATCTGAGTCAACTCAACACAATTTTTTGACCTATTATTGTTTAGAGATTAAGTAGCTAGAAAACTACTGAGAAGAGGAAGAAAGCATCAGGTATTCAAAGCTTCTGTCCTGTGACGTGTCTGTTTCATCCTTGCTACAATTTTTAAAGTCAAACATGAAATGTGTACGTTGTGTTGGGGCTTTTTAAAATTTTTAGAAATCAAACTACCGTAAAGAAGTTTGTATTCCTTCAACAGTGTTAAATTGTTCTCTAAAGTAAAGAGCCTATAGTGGAGAAACTGATACTGACAAAATTATTTCATGACCAAGACTATATCACCAAGAAGTTGATGCAGCACAAACCTGTTGGCCCCAATGTGTACCGTAATCCACACTAGGAGCTGTAGTTAACTCAATCTCCTGTTTAGCTGGATCCTCACTTCTTCCCTGGTGAATTAAAACAGAAAACATTGGGATTAGGATTTATGATATTTGATAGATACAAATGTTGTTAAAAAGGTCAGAATAACTAACCCAAAAATGTACATCAAACCACCCTCCAAATCCACACAACTTTGCGTTTTCCATGGTTATTGACAAAGAAAAGTTTGATCTAACTTTTTCTATGTCAGCCACTGTGGCAGTTAAACAATCAATTTCCTTTATTATGGCAGCAGTTCCAATGACTTGATGTGGATGAAGGTTGTTCCACAAAGATGTCTAAAGAAATCACAGCAAGCATAAATTAATCTAATGAGCAATCTTTATCCTTTTATATCACACTCTGACATTAACTTACAATAACGAAGCCAAATTTAATTTGTATATCCAGTAACACCCACAAAGTAAAAAGAAACCATTAATCATTGTTGATGCACAATCCCAACCGAACCCCCTTTATAGTCTAGGTATCCAGCATGCAATCCTACCACAATCACAAAAATAAGTTTTGGAACTACAAATTTTCAATCTGGTAAAACACATAGAATTGAATTTTTGTAAACCATCACGCAACTTTGACAATCATGATAAGAATACCAAAATTTACTTCTAAAAACTAATTCACTAATTTTAAACAAACAAGAAAACCAACTAAATTATAAGAACTCATAGGCTTCCAACTATGATCGAAATATTATTTCAGTACAAATAAACCACTAAAACCAAAGTATACAACTTGCCTGAAGATAGTATTTTCTTTGCTCATCTGAAAAAGGCTTTGTTAAAGTGCTCATATCAACACCATAATAGGTTTTTGTTTCATCAACGAAGTTGTTCCAATCATCCATAGTTGATTCATATTCTCCTGATTTGTGATCAACTATCCCAGTCCTGATGGGTGCCATCCACATGCGAGCATGACTAGGATACCTGCCAAATAAAGCTTCTCAAATCACTAATTACGTAGGAAACACCAAAAGCAATCAAAGAAATACACAGGTAACCAAAATTCATAACATAACCATCAGGCAACAACCAAATTAATTATACATGTAAATTATCACCATTGGTAATGTGATGAAATGAGCATAGTGCGCACTACATGCCAAGACAATGAATCTAATGTAAATAGATAAGCACTGAGTAGTTTTGTATTTAACTCACGAGACAAGTTTGGCACTATATTTGTTGACTAATGAGTGATGACTATGAAATAAGAATTTTGAAGCTAACCAATTCCATTGAAAACTATAGAATATGTTACACAGAACAAAACTCTGTGCCTTCTGTGTAGCTTGGTTTGAAACGTGGACACAATTGTTGAAATTTAAGGAATACATCTTTTTTGGGGCAATAGTTTTGCTTCAAATATCAAATGACCAAATATACTCCAGTAGAAATCTTAAAAATCCCAGAGAACGAATGAATGCTGCAATATGAAAAATGAACTACACTATCTATTTTAATGGGCACAACCAAAACACAAAATGGATGAATAGGTAAGGTGGTAGGGAGCAAATGAGAACACAAAACATCAATGCATCAAAATACTTTTTTCTCTGCTTTGAGACATAAAAATAGTTGCGGCAGAAAAATAGTTGCAACAATACATACATCACTCCTGTCGGTTTGAGCCAGTGGTCACGAGCATGTATAACTGAATCAAACATGGATTCTCGCAGAAGAAAATAACCCATCCACTCAGAGATGATCACGTCAACTGCAAGTTACATAATAACATCTAAGGCCACAAGGATAAACAACAAGTATAATTTAGATCAAGAGGGGAAAATGAACAAAACTCAAATTTACTAATAAAACACAGCACAAAGTGTTTTTTTTTTTAATTTAAGAAAACAATTTGTATTTCCATTTCCTTATTTTACCAATAATTACAAAACATCACTTTATTTTAGAAAACGGATAACACACAAAAACTGTTGTTTTCTTCCACCACAAATCCTTTAAAACAGGAAACAGAGTAAATGTCATTTTTGAAATCATTAATGTACACAAGAACCAGAAACACAAAAAAAAACATAAGTTATATCAAACAAACTAAACAGATCTCATTAATTCTAACCTTTCTCAGGCAAGGTAACATCCTCCATTGATCCCTCGATGACCTCAACTACATTCTGGAGATTATTCGCTTTGACTAGTGCACGGGCATGTTCTGACATCTTCGTCGCTTCCACTGCATACACCTTCCTCGCACCCGCTTGCGCTGACCATATAGCAAGAATGCCACTTCCAGTCCCCACATCCAAAACAGTCTTCTCCCAAATTAACTCACGAAGTCAGTTCCAAATCATAACATAAACACAAAAAATAACCATAACCAATGCTCTCAAACTATAACACAGTAGCAAAGGTTGTCTTATCCAATTCCTGTATCAGTAAAATTTCCACTACCATCGAAGTTGGGCTCAGCAACTAATTTCACAAGTTTTACTTCACCTCATTTTTTAATATAAATTGCAAAATGAAATCCCAATTTCTTATTAGAAAGTATTGAAGATAAAACCTAGGGTTGTACTAATCTCAGCTCAAAATAAGATACTTCCAAGGGTAATTTAATTCAACCTTTTAAGTTTGATAGGAAAATAAAGAATAGCAAAGGTTCATTCATAGAAGACGGCACTTAGTGATAAATGGTTGATGCGTAAAATGGTGATATGAAGACGCTGACCTTGCCAGCGAAGTGGTTTTTGTTCTCAAAGATGGCGTTGAAGTAAGCGTCCATGCGAACACGATCCGAGAGCATATCCTTCTGGTGGTAGAGGAAAGCATAGGTGCAGAAGTAATTGGCGAAGTCAACGTCTTTGGGAACAGGGGCGCCTCGACCACCGGGAGCGGCGTTTGCAGAGGTTCCCATCTTACACACACTCGCCCTTGCGCCGTTGCTCTCTCAGCTCCGTTCAACTTTTAGGGCATGCTAACTTTCGCGGCACAACAGCCTTGCCTCTGTCTACGGTTAGTTTATACTTGCTGTCTTTTCGAGTACTTTAATGAATTTTTAAAACCGTCTTGAATAATAATAAAAATTAAATTTCGGGTTTATATTTTTTAATTCAAATAATTACTTATTATAAAATAATTATTTACATTTTTATTTTTAGTAACTATTTTTTAAAATTTAAATAATTATTTATGATAAAAAAGTTATTTATAAAAACTATTTTTTAGTTTTATCATTTTAGTAACTATTATTTTTAATTTAAAAAATTACTCATTATGTATAATTTATATAACTATATATAAAAAAATACATCTATTTGGTATCTCTCTTGTTTTTTTAATTTTACCTCTTATTTACTATTTTTTAAATTTAAATAATTATTCATAATAAAAAATTATTTTTCAATTTTATCATTTTAATAATTACTTTTTCTAATTCAAATAATTACTCATTATAAATTGATTATTTACTTTTCAAAATTTAAGTATTTACTCATAATAAAAAAAATATTTACAAAAATTATTTTTTAGCTTTATCATTTTGTAACTATTTTTTTAATCAAATAATTACTCATAATAAAATAATTATTTAATTTTTTATTATATTGGTAACTTTTTTCAAATTTAAATAATTATTTATAATAAAAAAAACCTATTTACATAATATTACTTTTTTTCAATAACTAAATTTATTTTATTTATAGTTATACCTATAACTGTATACATCTTTTATTTTTTTTTCAACTTTATTATTTTAATTACTACTTTTAAAATTTAAATTATTTATAAATATTTAGAAATTGCGTACACATGTACACGATAGTGTATGCGTTTATGATAGTAATAATAGTAATATTTAAAAAGAATTTTCTTAATATTTTTTAATTTTATTGAATCTATTCTATATCTTTTATTTTAAATTAAATTTTAGTATTTTATTTTTAAAATGTTAATATTTATATCTCTATAAATTATTTATCATAAATTTGATAGATCTTACGCCATAAGAAACATATATTGATACAAATTTAGTTATGATGTAATTTATATATTTAAAATAATTTATGCGTCAAATTTGAGTTATATAATACAAGCTTAACACTTAATTTGGTCTCTAATTTCATTCAATTTTTCAAAAAAGAACTTTCAATTTTTTATTTGTTCAATTTAGTTTTATAGTTGAATGTCAGGCGAAGCAATCTAGAGATAAGAACACAGTTTAGTCAAGATTTTCTAGTTTAAGAGGATACGAGGGACTTATATCCACATCTTTTTCTTTGGTCAATCTAATTTCTGGAAATGATTTTTTTTGTTATTGGGAGAATGTAAGAACCTAAAAGTTTTCTAGGCTGAAGTACTACTTTGTGGTCCAAATTGATGGAGTTGATATACAAATTCTTAGAATAATGAGTTACAAAGGGAATTATGTAGTTTGATAAGTGGTATAGAGTCTTTTATAACTTGTTCATACTATTAGATGGTCAAATTTTTTATGTCAAGTGGAGAAAAAGAAACTAAGTTGTTTTATACTTGTTTTAAGGTGAAATTAGGGATTTTTGATAGGCAAAATTATGAGGAAATGGTTGGTCTAGAAAAACAAAAAATTGAGGTTAGTTTGGAAGTCGTTTAAGACTTGTTGAAGTTGTAAAACCAGTCAAATATGGCGTGGAGTTCAATAGTGGACTAGTGAGTGGGTATTTGCATGTTTTTTTGTCCAAATAAGGGGGTTTTGAGTGGTGAAATTCTAAAAGAGTGGTTTTAGAAAGAAACTTAATGTTTGGGGTTGGTGTCTAGGCCATTTAAGATTTGTATAGCATATTTGTTCAATTAAATCTGAGGTAAAATGTTTAAAATATGATATATGAGTTTTGGTTGCAAATTAATTGATTGAACTTTGATTCCTTAGCAAATCATCAAATTGGTATCTAATCTAAGTTATAAAGATGTATTTGAATCATTCTCATTGTCTAAAATGTCATTTTGATTATTTAGATAGGTATTGAGATCAAACGAAGCTAGTTTTAGAGTTGCTGATTTTCTATTATAGGGTTGAACGCCAAGATTGTAGGACTGAGCGCCAACATTCCATTGGTGTTGGGGCTGAGCGCCAGGAAAGTAGCAATGAGCACCACTTTCCAATGGAGATTGGGCTAAGTGCCAGAATGCTCAAGTTGAGCGTCAAGGATGCAATATTGATTTTTGATCTCTATTTTCTTGTTCTTATTGGCTTTTGAGTTGTATTTAGTACTTTGATAACTTGAATGAGTTGTTTTCTGGTTCTTTTGGTGGATGTTTAGTGGATTCATGTATTTAGTATGCAATGAGGCTATGTATATGATTAAGTATGGTGCAAACATATGGGTAACATGTATAATGATATGCAAATAATATGGAAATTGTGGATTTAAGTATGAGTGAGAAAGGAATTCCAAGGAGAAATATCCTAAGTTGGTTATATTGTGTAATGTATTTGAAGTAGGGGCTCCTGGATTGGGAAATGATCATCACACTCTCAATAACCCCATCTTAAGTAGAGATAGGTGATTATGTCGTGGAGAGTAGCAGGAGGTCCTAGTTTATGGTCACTGGTTTTAGTCATAGATGTTTGACAAATTAACCTTGGTATATGGTATTATTGGGGGTGGTTGAGGTTTTGATTATTATTTCTGAGCAGGTTGCTCCACCATATAAGGGTGCAGGTTTTCCATGAGTCTGACATCAATGCATCTATCCGGATAGTAAAAGTTTCAAAGTGTGGAAGGGATTAGTTTCAGCATTGATTGATTCATAATATGCATGTATTTGTTATTGTTTTAAATTGTATGTAAAATCTTTTGATACTTTAGTTTATCCTTGTTTTTGTGTTGTCTGTCTTTAAGTATGTTTCTCTTTGGCAATGATCACCTTAATGGGTGAGTTTAAGTGGTGTATCTGGGGAACATGTGCTAGTTGGTAGCGAAGCTGACGCCTAGAGTAGGAAGTTTTAGCTTCTTTTCTTTGTTTGTAAAGTTGACCTTACTCTTTTGACTTAATGTAGTATGTATTCTTCTAGCATAAAAGGGTCTACATATGAAGTTTTTTATTATAAATTATTTATGAATATTTGTAACGAGAATTTTATATGTTTTTCTTTGGTTAATGCTTGTGTAATATCAAAGATATGATATCTCATATAATAGTTAAATACTATTAAATTTTGGGATGTTGTAATATATTATATAAAACTATTATTTAACCGGTTAAATTTGTGAAAAATTAAAAAAAAACAAATATACAATTAAATTATTTATTTATTTAACATGTTTTCACAAATTTTATATGAGCTTTATACCACAGCGAAAAAATTGTTGCTTTAAAAATGAGAAAAAAATTATATATATATATATATATATATATATATATATATATATATATTCATGTTTTTTTTCACTATATGAAATCTCTGAAAATTTATAGAAAAATTTAAAAATGTAAATTATGACTTTTTTTTAATGAATAAATCAATAAAATGAACGTAAGACGAAGTCCTTTAATAAATGAGTTAAGGCATGTCTTTGTTTATACGTGGGATGTTTATGCTGCAAAATGTTTTAATCCAAAATCTTAAAAGATGATTTCCAAGAATTAGGATAAAATATCTATATTTGTTGTCTTGATTTTATTTTACCTATTTATGTAAGGGCCTGAAAATATATGGTAGTTGGGTATTATGTTGAAGCAGCTAGACCCATAACACTAAGGGCACCTTAGGAGGGGCTTTTCAGATCTGAACTCATTATCTCAGCTTCCCATTCTCTCTCTAAAAAACTTGTTCCTCCATTTCTCTCTGCCTTCTATCTACCTTTCCCTCACGTTTAGTGGTTGCATGTTGGATTAGGTGGTGCCGAAGTGACCGCGGCGTAGACCTTCGCAACCTTCCGAATAGATTTTCATTCTTCAGCGGGTAAGTAGCTCTTCACTGTTCTCCGCTGTTTGGGACCTAGGGCAAGTTGCACGTGCCTAGTGTACCCTTCTTTATGTTTTCCTCCGTTCCTTCTAGCTCTAAGAGTTGTTCTTGGTCACCGCATTGCGGGTTGTAGGGTGTTGTCTAGATTATTCGCGTGTGGGGTATTGGAGCTGCGGGTCTTTGAGCTTAGCAAAGAAGTTTCAAGGTAAGGGGAGCTAGAATGTTTCTTTAATTGGTTGCATGAACTGTTGAGTGTTGTGCTGCTGGACTGTTGATATTGTGTTTTGATTTGGAAAGACTTAATTGCATGTGTTGGGTTGAATGACTGTGAAACTGGATTGTAATGTATGTAAACTGCTTTGAGATGTATTTAAATTCTATAATATCTATGTTGATGAGTTTGGGCTGAGAGACATGTTGTAACAGTGAATGGATGGAAAAATTGGTATTCTGTAAGGGTTTTGAGTCACTTGAGAGGAAGTGAGGTAGTGATTTTGGGAAGTAAGGGTTTTGGACACATTTGGGCTGTGGGGACATCTTAGGCAAGTCATTTGTGACCTGTTAAGATCACAAAACTGGACTAGAACATGTTAGAAGTGGTAAAATCGAAATTGGGTCCTTAAGTTGTGGAAATTGATGTTCAAAAGACAAAACTTGATCTTAATCACTTTAGAATGGTAGTAGGAAAGTTCAGAATCATTTAGATGAGTTTAGTTAAGTATAAAACAAGAATTAAGGGTGTTAGAAGTTAGTAAAAATGGTTAGGAATGGTTGTGTTAGGTGTTGTTCATAATTCTACAGAATTATGCAGTTTCGCAACTGATAATCGTTCGGTCATGCACTGTTGAGCGTTCGATCTTAGCGTTCGGTCTCAGCGTTCGGTCGTAATAGCGTTCGGTCTTAGTGCTCGGTCTTAAGTGGAGTTCGGCCTTAGTGCTCTGTCTTGTTGAGCATTCGGTCTCAGTGTTCGGTCGTAATAGCGTTCGGTCGTAGTGCTCGGTCTTAAGTGGAGTTCGGCCTTAGCGCTCTGTCTTGTTGAGCGTTTGGTCGTAATAACGTTCGGTCT